CGTTGCTTCTGTTAATGATGATAATGATGATGGTAATGAAAATTATGATGATAAAATAACAGTTGGAACATGAAAACGCTTTTGCAACGTGGTAATTGCAGCAGTCACAACTACATAATCACATCGCCTGTCCCAGAGTGTTCCGTCACCACACAACACACTCGTGGTAAAAGGAAAAACTGACTTTGCATAATACCTGTTGTAGCATTTGGCGGATATTACTTATATTTCCCCATTCTGTTACTTTACGAAACTGTCAAAGTGGTGTTGAACTAATGTTATATACAGACAACACGCACATACACACACAGTCACCAAGAGCTTTATAAAGTATTCTGTGGTGAGGTGGTCGTCTTTACCAACCACAGAGTCACGTTGTTCAGAAGTTAAGAACACTGAACAAATCACTTCACCTCACAAAAACAAACCTCGCTGTAGTTGTAAGCTTCTCAGAGTCACATCTTCCTCCTTACACTAACAGCCGAGCGATCAACACCAGAGGTTTATACTTCATCACTAGTAGTCATTTCTACTTTGTTGGTACATTGTCTTCAGCCTCGACTGCATGCTTTGAAACATTCGGTGACATTTACCTTTTATTATTATTATCATTATTATTAAATTCTTAACAAAAACTTGGACATTCAGATAGCTGGAATCACAGTCCTGGATGAAGCCTTTACCACCGGGAAGACTTTGTGCCTCTCTGGTTTCAAGACACAAAACTTGGGAACTCTTTAAGGGTGGCTGTCAGTTTAAGATAAGTAAGGCAGTTTCCGGCCGCTATGTTCTCCAACATGCGAGTTCTGCTTCCCGTGGTAAACATAAACATTTTATCTGGTAGTTTTCACCCACTACACGCGTTTATTTCTCGAGCCTTACTCTAGGATGATTATGTTCTTCACGCTGTTAATATGAGCTCTCAGGAATAATCTATGACAATGGGTTATACTTTGAGACTTTGTGTTTGACGTCAATACAACCAAGGCCTCTTTTCTTCTGTTTGATAAGAAGCCTTCAGATATTTCTTCCTAACGAGGGTTTTGTTCCTCACACTAAATCTATAAGGTCGAAACATTTCCCCCTTATTACCTTAGAGTACACCTTTACCTGTATCTACTGTAAGGTACAATAGAGGTCATTTTCGCATTTTAATTGTATATTCTTCTCAGGTATGAAGAGGATAACCCAAGGGACAGTTTCCTCCCCAAAGGGACAAAGAAGAGCCCAAGTACAAAACAGAAAACTTTCCAACTAATGACCAATGAGATCGATTTCCAAACCACTGGTGAAGATATTTCTTGGGTGCATTCTCCCGTAAAGAGCGATCTGTGTTGGGTCATGAAGAAGTTCCCTCGGCATTTGGTCCTAAATATCTCAGATTCGAAAACTTAAACAGCTTAAGTCTATCATTCTACAGGTAAGGGTAATGCAAACATTATGGCCAAACAAATATATTTCAATACTGATTAATGTAAGGAAGACCTTGAGAAGTCGGAGAAGTATATGAACTACTTTAAAGAGGCTTCAAAAATGCCCATTGGCATGTTCCCAACAACAATAGTAGCGAAGCTTCCTGACGTTCAACCTAAGTCAAGTATTTTTCCTTCAAAATTTCTCCCTTTTAGACTCAGGGCAGCTCCAAGAGTCCTTGTGTCCAGAGTCATGGTTGCTATTTTCCGAGAAGAGAAAATATTTTGCCTGGTCTATCTAGACAACTAAGTAATCTGCAGTCGATCAAGACAGATAACGTTGAGAGACACAGAGAACGATTTCGATCCATTTACAGCAAAGAATGCTAGTGAACTGTCAGAAGATCAAGATTATCCATAAGCAAAACTTTAAGTGGCAAGAACGTCTTCGGAACACCACAGCAAATTTGGTTTCCATCTCGACCGACAAGATTCATTTGACTCGTTTATCGTCAATGATCTTGTTGCACAGAGCCAAACTCCTCTTTAGCAATGCGAAGGTACTATTGACAAAATGTTTTCGTTCCCCAGTTTCACGGCCATGTTGTCATGAGATTATATGATATTATGAAAATCAATATAACGACATCCTTTCCAGCTCTTCCTAGCTGGACCCATGGGTCCAGGTTCTCTCTCACACCCAATGGCCCAGGCTCTCTCTAACACCCATGGGCCCAGGCTCTCTCTAACACCCATGGGCCCAGGCTCTCTCTAACGCCCATGGGTTCATGTTCTCTCTACCTCCATCATGATGACGTAAGTAGAGTGAGCAAGTTCGATGCCTTCTTATATCTTCAAAAAAAGAAAAAAAAGAAGTACATATATAACTTACGAAGCTTTGAGACCGGGAGCCCAAGGTTCTCAGTGCGGTTCTAGCACTACACATACGCCAGGTACAATTCCTTCAGAGTTTTATTGTAAATTTTCCTTATGGTGGTAATTTCATGCCTGGGCGAAGATGAAACAAGCAGGAGTAGATAATTATAGGCTATAAACAAAGTCATTACGCACGTAATTGCCTGCATATTATTATGACTCCACTTGTCGGTGTGGTATCATTAGCATAAAAATCCTGCCCAGGATCTGCAGGGGTGTTGCTGCAGTCTGGTGGTAACGCGCCCCACCCGCTCCCATACTGGGCTCCCCGGTGATATATTCGGCTATGATGGGCTACCGTTAACTATATTGAATCACTAGGGGTCCTTCTGAGTCCCAGGAGTCACACTGAATCACTAAGTTTTACTGAATCGCCATAAGTCCAACTGAGTCACCAGGAGTCACCAAATGGCATGGCGAGTCAGCACAAGTCATACTGGGGTACCTGGCATTTTATTCGACAACACTGGGCTACCGGGAACTATACCGGGTTATGCTGAATTACTAGAAGCCATACTTGGTTATACCAGGCTACCAAGAGTCATATTCGTCTATTAGACACGTAGACTTATAATGGGCTATGTCGGGCTATAACAATTACACTGGGCCTACTGTACTATTTTTAACTATATTGGATCATTTTGGGCTATATCTAATCATCTTGGACTACATTTACTTCAATCTAGGGCTATAATGGGCTGTCTTGGTCCATACTGAGGTATGTTAGGACATCTCGGAGGCTATTATGCCCATTATGAGCTACACTGGGCCATATTGGTCCATTTTGTAGCCATCTAAGCTATAAAGAGATATACTGGACCATATTAGGTCTTGCTCTATTTTTTTTTACTTTTTTGTGTCATTCTTAGATATATTTTGCTATTCTAAACCTTTAAGCATTATCTAAGGCTGGGAGGTATTACTAAGGGCACCTGTAACTCACACCTAACAGTCATAGTAGGCCTCCTTCCACCCCGTTACCGCTGATGTCTATTTCAACTCGTGAATTATTAAGAACTGCGTTGATTTCCAAAGCGCAATGTCGTTTTCTACCACAGAACATAACCAGATGTTCGGTATAACGTTCTTTACTACAGAAGACCACCAGAACTCCTACATCAGCGTTAGGACGCCCTACACTAATACAGCTAAGCACTAATGAACATCCTTCCTTTTCACTAAAAGCTACAGAACGCCACTTCGCACGACCAAAACTGATTATACTTGTTGTAGAAATGATGATCTCTACCGTCCAACTGTCAGGGAACTTTTTAGTGCACTTTGGAGACAACCTCCTCTTGATGTGCCCTGATAGTTTAGGAACGACTGCCGGTTACCAAGTGTCTCTCCTCCCTCCCTCGTGCACCCCGTGTTGATCACTACTGGTGGTCTGATGCGCCTACCATGTGTGTATGTGTGTGTGTGTTTTTAGGCATTCACCTTTGATTGTAATTACTCTTAAAGTCACCCCAGGACGGATCATCACCCAACATACGAAGTTTGACAGTGTCCAGACCAAAGCATCGACAGCAGCATGTGTACAAACAGATGGAAAAGTAAAAAAAGTGTGTGTGTATGTGTGTGTGTGTGTGTGTGTGTGTGTGTGTGTGTGTGTACGCGCGTGTATGTGTATGCATGTGTAGGTGTGTATGTGTATATGTGTGTATATGTGTGTGTGCGCGCGTCTGTTTTTATGTCTCTCTCTTTTGATAAATGGACAGAGAGAGAGAGACATGACAACATAAAATACAAAGTGCCTCAGTCCACCAGAGACATCTTGTGCCACTAAAGGGTTACCGGTGTCTCCCCTGCACCAATAATTGCCCATCTGTACTACTTAGGGTCAACGAAGCTCCCCCTTTACCACCAGTGTTACCCCACGTCACTAAGGACCAGTAAGGGCTACTAGTCCCATATATTACTAAGGGTCATCGAAGTCCCTTCGCGCCACCAAAGGCCACTGAGTCCCCGTATCACGAAGGGCTATCGAAATCTTCTTGCACCACTAAGGGTCATTAAGTCTTCCTGAGTCATAAAAAGCCATTAAGTCCACTGCGTCACTAAGACCTTAGGGCTATGAAAGTTTATATTACTATGGGCCATCAAAGTCCTCTTGAATCACAAATGGCCATTAAATCCCCGTGCAGTACTAAGGGCCATTAAGTCTACCTGTTCTACAAAGGGCCATTAAGTTTCCCTGTTTCACCAAGGGTCATTAAATCCCCTGTATCACTAAGGGCCATTAAGTCACCCTGTTTCACTAAGGGCCATAAGTCCACCTATTCTACCAAGGGTCCTTAATGCCACCACTGCACCACTTTAAGTCAACAGTAAAGTGCCCGGTATGAACGCAAAATAACCCTGTATCATCAAGGGCCACTAAACCTCTCGTGTTTCACCGAGTCACAAAATATCTGTACAACTGTGGTTAAGAAAAGGTGTTCCTGTAACACTAAGGGCTACCCCAATACAAGCACGAAGCCCTTATTACGCTGGAGGGCCCCCAGAGGCCTCTCCATCACATAGTGGGCTGAGAACACTTTCACGGCAGTAGTGTATGGTCTTCAACGCGTCTCTTCTCCTTAATTTGTTTCTTCAAAATATTCATTTGCAGAAATAAGCAATACTACAAGGTTAATATTCTCTACTTACCAGAGCTCACGGGTGATTGTAATTCTTCCTGTTCAGGTATTGGCGGCGATACATAGTGACTGGCCAGTCCTAGAGTGAGTCGGCCAATGGACGAGGGCAGTGTTGTCACGTGACTCGTCATATGGTTGGGGTTCTGTGTGCTGATTGGTGGACTCTTCCGCGGAAATACTCCATTGGCTGTTGAGAATAGCGACGGCGCAGGATGCCCGGTGTGTTCGTTGAATCCTGAGAGATTTCGAAGCCAGTTTCAGTAACTATATTTTATGCATTTTTTCTTGAATCATTAACTGCAGTGTTCATTAATTTTGTACCGTCGTTATCAACACAAAGCAATAGGTAAGAGAGACATTATATTTCATCATAGGTCTACTGTTAGTTCACAAGGAACACACTGGTGGACTTGTGCAGTGTGAACCACGGCTGTACATACACGGCCAACAATTTTGAACACTACAGAATATTAATGTGAAAGCAAATTCACACAATAAAAATATTTTTACTCACTGGCAACAAAAGTTAAGCTCTTTGATTCTACAAAACAAGATCTTATGAGACTCATTCTACGAGCAAATGTTTAAACTCTATATTGCAATTAACCATAAGTTACTATGTGTTTACTCTACCATGATCTGAATAAATAAACAAGCTAATAAAGAGTATTTCACATGCTATACAGTATACAAATAGAAAGGTGATTGCTTTTACGACCAAAATACTATATCATAATAGACACATTCTCTTGAAAATTTATCAAAGGTGTACAAACGTGTGTGTGTGTGTGTGTGTGTGTGTGTGTGTGTGTGTGTGTGTTTTATTCAGCCTTGAAATTCATACATACAACACTATTTGACTTGTTTTTCATGAGGTGTATCTCAGGTGTTTGGCTTATGAGGTATATTACGTCTTGTGTCTTATGAGGTGTACTTTGTGTCTCATGGGGTGTACTTTGTGTCTCATGGGGTGTACTTGTTTCTCATGAGGTGTACTTTGTGTCTCATGGGGTGTACTTTATATCTCATGGGGTGTACTTTGTGTCTCATGGGGTGTACTTTGTGTCTCATGAGGTGTACTTTATATCTCATGGGGTGTACCTTGTGTCTCATGAGGTGTACTTTGTGTCTCATGAGGTGTACTTTGTGTCTCATGGGGCGTACTTTGTCTCTCATGAGGTGTACTTTGTGTCTCATGAGGTATACTTTGTGTCTCATGGGGTGTACTTTGTGTCTCATGAGGTGTACTTTGTGTCTCATGAGGTGTACTTTATATCTCATGGGGTGTACCTTGTGTCTCATGAGGTGTACTTTGTGTCTCATGAGGTGTACTTTGTCTCTCATGGGGCGTACTTTGTCTCTCATGAGGTGTACTTTGTGTCTCATGAGGTATACTTTGTGTCTCATGGGGTGTACTTTGTCTCTCATGGGGTGTACTTTGTGTCTCATGGGGTGTACTTGTTTCTCATGAGGTGTACTTTGTGTCTCATGGGGTGTACTTTATATCTCATGGGGTGTACTTTGTGTCTCATGGGGTGTACTTTGTCTCTCATGGGGTGTACTTTTGTATCTTTGTTTCTCATGGGTGTACTTTATGGGGTGTACTTTGTCTCTCATGGGGTGTACTTTGTACTTTGTCTCTCATGGGGTGTACTTTGTGGGGTGTACTTTGTGTCATGGGGTGTACTTTGTGTCTCATGGGGTGTACTTTGTGTCTCATGGGGTGTACTTCAGGTTTTGGTTTATGAGTTGTGTTGACTTATTCTTCTTGTTAGATCTTTTGTTGATAAGCAATGAATGTGGTGGTGGGGGTGTGGATGTGGGCGTGAAGTGTGTGGGTGTGGGGTGTGTAGGTGAGGACGTGGGCTGTGGGTGTGAGTGTGGAGGGTGATGGTGTGATGAGTGTGGGCGTACCAGTGGTGGGGGCGATGGAGGTGGGTGTGTGGGGGGCGGTGCAGGTGTTGTGGGGGTGGGCGCCGCTGCCCCCACCGCAGGTACTTCCTCCACTGCTGTGGCAGCCCAAATGTTGCTGTTGTTGTTGTTGCTGTGCCTGCTGCTGCTGCTGCTGTTGTTGTTGCTGTTGCTGCTGCTGTTGTTGTTGTTGTTGTTGTTGCTGTTGTTGTTGTTGCTGCTGCTGTTGTTGTTGTTGTTGTTGTTGTTGCTGCTGTTGATGTTGTTGTTGCTGCTGCTGTTGCTGCTGTTGTTGTTGTTGCTGCTGTTGTTGTTGCTGCTGCTGCTGTTGTTGTTGCTGTTGCGAGGCTCCGCAGCCTGTGGGTGTGTGGGCTGGGGGCGTGGTGGTGCCGCCATGGCTGCCTCCTCCGTTGACGGTGGTGACGGTGGCGGGGGTGGTGTTTGTGGTGCTGGTGATGCTGGTGTTGGCGAGGCCCGAGGCGGCGCTGGTGATACTGTTGACGGCCATCAGCAGGTGTTCAGGTACCTGTGATAGTGGCGGCGACTGTGGCTGAGGTGACGACCCGAACGGCGGTGGGGGCGGGTCCTGCCGGAGAAGAGGAGACAATGTTAGTGTGGGTGATGATGGTGGAGGCAAGGAAAGGTGTGGTAAGGTTAGGTTAGGTTAGGTTAGGTTAGGTAAGGTTAGGTTGGTTACGTTAGGTTAGGTCAATAAGTAAAACAGATTAGGTCAAATTAATTTTGCACGGTTAGGGTAGGTCAAATGAAGTTGTTAGTTAAATTAGGATAGGTGAGGTTAAGTTACACTAAACTTTATATAATATGTAGCCATGTATATTCCTCGTTTGGGTAATGTATTAACATATCCTTATTAACTAAATATACATCTCATACCGTAATGTATACTTCACAAACTATACTAATTCCATCTTTATTTTATATCAACTTGATAACCTCTACCTCATCAACTGACGATTGGAAGCTAAGGTTCATATATCAGTACAGTTTTACACTTCCTCCACCCAAAATTGGTTAATCAATTTCATAATACAACTCATTTCCACATATTAACATCACTTTACAGAACTTACAAACAAACATTCCTCAAGTAAAGATGATGCTCCAGGGTATGAGGTTGACTAAAGTGAATACAGCCACACAAAACATTCCCTCAGTCTTAAAGTGTAACAATTGAATAATGAGGATTTCCGTATTAACTCCTCCACGCTTTAAGTCGGGTTGTCAAGTGTCTTTATTGTACGTATCTCCATTTACCCTTTCAGTCTTAAGTCACCTTTGCTATATACCATCTCTTATAACAGCTCTTAAGGTATACATGTTTGGTGTACTCATTATCCTCATTGCAATCCTGTTATGCCTCCTAATGTTAAGTTCTACAGCCAATATACATTACATACTCTACACAATATACATCATACTTACTATACAATATACATCATACATACTACACAACATACATCATACTTACTCCACAACATATATCATACATACTGTCCTACACAACACACATCATACATACTATACGACGTAAATCATACATAACACATAATACACAAATAGCAAATATATACAACGGCGTTACACATATTGTTTATACTGGGACTCCTGCCTGTCATGTGTCAGTGATTACTCGTCCCTTCTGGAGCCTACAACACACTCCCTACCACAGCTACGTTGCCTTGGATCCAGTATCAACTTTTTCGTGCTCAAGGGTTTAAGACCCCGTACTCAAGGACTTGGAATTGTACTCAAGGGGGTTAATAATCCGTATTAAAGGGGTTAAGTGTTCGTACTCAGGGGTTAAGACATCTTACTCAGTGGGATAATTAATGGTATTTAAGGGGTTGGTATCGTAAATAAGCTCAAGCAGTTCAGTCTAACTCCCCTACACTAGCTATCCATCACTGTTTAACAAGGGCAATCTCACACCTGTCACTCCACCGAAAAGTATGACAATCTCTCGCCTCTCACCCACCAAAGAGACCAACATGTTAAGCTACAGTGTGTTTGTGTTGTGATTTATCTCTCACACACCACGTCATCATACACACACACTACCACTCGCCCTGAGAGGCTACGGGGTACACAGCTCACGTCTGGGAACAAATTAGCATCGTTCATTTCTAAGAGAGAAGGATTCCTGTCAATAAACTACAGTCTATTGCTGGCTACTGTCTCACACAGGTACGCAAGTATATAAGATGCTACCAGTTATGACTCGACCAATAGTGTCATCACTTTCATTCACATTATTATCACTTACTCAGACATATATTGATCCTAAACGCCCTTAGATAAATTATATTGGATATTCATTGTTTACAAGTAAGTGCCAAAATTATCATCGCATATGTGGTAAAACGCGAATGTATATCCATGTTATTTAATTTAGGAATACAATTTGGATAATAAAAAGTAGCCCGGAGTATGCAGTTTGGAGGACGGCCACCTCATCCCGGTAAAGAGCTCGGTATTTACCCCCGACGATAACTCTTGCTGCCTTGCTCAGGCTCTAGTATATTACCTACAAATTCAGGATGATTACAATGCATTATAATGAGGGGTGATCGATGACGGCTATCTCGCGTCCCTGTTATCATTATATATATAAGACTATTACCTTCTCCCGACGATATAATACGAATATATACATAATAAGTTCGACCCCCAAGTTTCTGGAGCTCATATATTCAGATTTTCTCGTCAACAAAAACTTTGATTATCGCCATTAATATTACACATGGCTTAGCAAAGTCCAGCCCCTTAATGAGGATTTATGAATTTGATCATAACTCAGAGTTCTTGACCAAATTCGTTCATGATTACATGTAATATTCTGGCTACTAATCATCCGCTCGATAAAAAGGAAGAGCAATGTATTACAAGAGAGAGAGGGGAATAATCATGTACAATTTGGTACCATATTGATGATGACACTATACAAAGTACCTCAAAATTATTGTTATACACAAGAAAAAACACATACATGTGCCTGTTAACACGTACACATGCTCACGGCCATACATACATACATACTGTACATACATACATACATACATACATACATACATATACATACACACACTAAACATACAGTGTATATATATATATATATATATATATATATATATATATATATATATATATATATATATATATATATATATATATATATATATATATATATATATAAGACTACAGAGATCACCGTGGGATGACGACCTGCAAACTTTGGTTATGATTCACGTCAGAAATAACAACACTTGTAAATTGGGATAATAAACCACCAATATATTCCACGACCTCAGCAGCCAAGACGTGATGCTGTGTACAAGTAAACATTACTGTATATATTTCACTCGGCACTAGAGCCAGGATATACTCTACTTCACTCAGTCCCTACATTCAGGATATACTGTACTTCACTCGGCTCTTCGGTCAGAATATAAGTATAGGCGTGATTTCTCGCTCCTGGTGGTCTAACTATCCACAAATAAGACCATATATTGAACCTAGCGTCAACTATTACCATTCTCTTACACCCAACATTAAAACAATATTCAACATACAATGAGAAACATTCACCACACACTTAAATAGCTAAAATGATTATGTATTAACTAGATTTTTTACATCAGAATGGGTTGAAGAGGTTGACCACTAACACTCCAGGTAGTCAGTCTGGTTTATGTAATCTCGAAAAACACTTTCCGGACCCCATCACATAAGGGACCACCGATCACCTCTCATTTTAACCATATAAGTAAAATAATTACCATAAAGATATAATTATAACATCTAGTGAGAAGTATTGCAGTTATCAATACTCTTGTCTCTCTCCCTCATTATCTCCTGCCATCTTGACTGTCTCTCTGTTATTTACCTTCTTCTCTGCTTCTCTCAATCGCCTTTCTCTTCATGGTTTTGCCACTCACCTTCATTCTCTCTCTCACTCTTTCCCTTTGCTTCGCTTTGTATTGTTTTACTCATTCATTCTTTCATTCTACTCCTCATTCTCAACGTCCCTACTCCTCCATTCTCAATGTTTTCTTTATCTACCGTTTCACCCTTACTCTCTTTCTCTCACTCTCTAATTCCTTTACTCCCGTCTTCATTTTTTCATCTCCTCCTCCTTATTCCGTCACACCTATCCCATAGGCCTTTAACCTCATCCCCTGCCCCTGACACCTGAACCTTACACCTTCCTCCTCCTCTTCCTTATCTCCTGACACACCCTTCTTAGTCCCATAGGTCTTCCTCCACACACACACACACACACACACACACACACACACACACACACACACACACACACACACAGACACACACACACCCCAATAGGCCTGGTAAACACTACGATCTAAGCTAAAGTCCCTGAACACGGGGCTGGAGAGGACCTACTAGCATGGTGCACGGTGGGTCTTATACACCTACGAACCGGTCCCGAGTCGTGTCCTGAGGCTCCTGGCTATTGTGTTTATGGAAATGCTGCAGAAAAGTGATGGAGGGCTACCTGGGAATTATTGCAATGCTCGAGGCTTATTAATATTTAACTATCTCGGGGTCCAGAAGGTCTGTCTCTCTGTCTGTCGGTCTCTCTCTAGGTCTCTCTCTCTGTCTGTCTCTCTCTCTCCCTCTTCATTTATCCCTTAATATTTCTCCTTAATCCCACCACTGACCCGAGAGAGAGAGAGACGGTTTAAAAACATTTGCTGGACAAGAGATGTACCCTAATTATTTCGCCTTACAAGAGATGTTTTACCTTGAAATGTTGTTCCCTAACCCAGAGAAACTATGGCACCCACCACCCTCCCCCTCACACCCACCCCTCACTCCCTTCCCTTTAACCCCTACTCCTTCTCACCCCTTCCCCATACCCCCTCACGCCATCCCTCTCACCCCTCCCCACCACACCCCCCTCACCCCCACCACATCCAAACAAAAACACGCCAGAAAACAAACATCAACAAACAGGAGGAAATGCTTTAGCGAACACGGAGAACGAAAATTGTCAGAAGGTTGTCAGCTCACGTGAGAGTATGCTGGAGTATAACGCCGTAATGAGGTATGCTAATATGTTTTAATTAAAGCGTCGCATTTCACACAAAGGCACAAATACAAGTTGAGTTTATGTTGATACACTTTACTGCCCTTGAAGACTTACAGTATTAATCAGTATTGTTTTAT